AACTCACAGCAGTCCTCCTGCCTCTGCCTCCCAAGTGCTGGGATAGTATACATTTCTTAGGTTAGAAATGACTGGATTTCCAAAACAAAGCTATGTGTATAAAGAAGTTCTATAAATATAAAACGTAGTATGTCTTCACCTGCTTGATATGAGATCATTTGGACATAAAATACAGGTTTGCTGGGAAAACCAAGTAACATGACGGTATGTTCTAAATTATGAAGGGGCACATAAACTTAAAGTTGCCTATCTTAATGATGCACTGTTCGGATATTTGGATGAATTATCTCCTATAAAAACTGAAGAATCGGGCCAGGGATATAGCTCAGAGACACAGCACCTGCCTGGCAAATGCAAAGTCCTGAGTTCGATTCCTGATGCCAAAAATAATAATAATAATAATAATAATAATAAATTAAAGAAAACCCCCAAAACTGAAGAATCCTAGATAGTAGTATGATTATGAAATGCGGTCTAAGGGCATACGTGTTGGCATGATCTTGGACTATGTTTTTCTGTTTTCTTCCCCTCAGCCCTTGTTTGTCATTGGTTGAAGTCACTGTGAAACTAGTCATCTGTTTTTCCTACAAGCTAAAGTTGTCATTTATAGTCAGTTTGGTTTTAGTTCTTTTCCATCTTTATTTACCTGTGGCTCCTTCAGGAAAATTACTCTGAGTTCAGAAATGGCTTACAACTTACAAGTAGGTGGAGAACAGGGCCCAAAAGCCACTCCTGGCCAGCTGCTTCACAGGGACAGGTGGTTGACCCTCCTCGCTTTTCTGGAGCAGGAAGTGACTAGTAGGAGCAAAAGGCACCAAGGGACAGCTTCTGAGTCAGCCCTTTACACTTCTTATGTCCCTTCTTCCTCTTCAGTTTCCAGTGTCCCATCATTTGGCATTGAGGATGAACAGAAACGAGGGCTGGGCGTTCTGGGTCCTTGCAGTTCTCAACCCTGGCTTGGTATATAGTCTTTCTGGAGAGGAGCCTCATCCACTGAAGGTCTACTCTGACCAAGCTTAGGATCCAAGGGGCCAGGCAATACAGGGACCTGGGAACCCCTTATTGCCAGCACCTAATTTCCTCTGGGGTAGAGCTGTCCTAGCATAGTTCCCAGGAAGAACAGCCCTGCATCTTCCCTCTGAGGTTCTACCTCTTAGAGCAGAATGCAGGGTCATCTTGATCAATGTAAGGTCAACTGAGTCTGTGCTTTAGGTAAGTAGAGTTCCTGGTACATGGTCAGTATTTGAGAAATGGCAACTTTTTTTTTTTTTTGAGACAGGGTCTCACTATGCAGTTCAGGCTGCCCCTAGCTCACTTTGTAGCCCAGGCTGGCCTCAAACTCACAACGATTTTCCTGCCTCAGCCTCCCGAGTGCTGGGATTACGGGCGTGAGCTACCATGCCTGGCTCAAGAAATGGGAATTTCATGAACATTTGTTACATGAATGAATGACAAACCAGCAACAGGCCACAGAATGCTTGGATCCAGCCACTATCAAAAAATAAGTAAATAAATGACAGTCCTAGCATTGGAATACAGAACTAAGCCTGGAGACCTGAAAATTAAGTCTGGAGGTCCCAACAACAAGGCACAAACTCAAGACAAGTCAAGAGGCATACAAAACCAATACAGTAACCAAGATCAACCACTGTTATTATTAAAGAGCAGTTTCTAGCCAGGCATGGTAGCTCATGCCTATAATCCCCGCACTCAGGAGGCTGAGGCAGGAGGATCACTGAGAGTTCAAAGCCAGCCTGGGCTACATAGCAAGACCCTGTCTTTAAAAAGAAATAAATAAAGAGCAGTTTCTAGTACATAGGACCTTGGGGTATTTATAATGCCCACAAGGGCCAACTACCTGAGATCAGAGTCACACCAGCTGGCTGGTCCCACCCTGCATCCAAGAAGGCTGAGACACCAGCAGAGCTGACAAAGCAGCCACACAGAAGTATGGGATTGCCTTGGCCTCAAGGCTACACGTCCTGGCCTTAGGACTAATCTGCCACTCTTCCTACCTGCTTCCATCTCAGAGATTGCTGTAGAAGCCTGTGCTCCAGGATGGACTGACACTTGCCCTTGAAGGAGCCCAAGGGCACATACAGTCCAGTTACTCAATGTTGTCGTAGACGTGGATCACATCTTCGTGGCTGACAAGAGCCTGGATGAGATGGGCAGCCTGTTTGAGGTCAGTGTCAGCCAGCGGCACCTTTGAGTGGGGGATGAACTCCAGCGTACAAGACACAGAACACAAGCCCAAGGAGTCCAGCTTCTTCCTCACCTGGTGCAGCGAAGAGGCATCACAAATAAACTAGAGAGAGGGGAAAGTCAGGAGGTGAGGAGCTAGGCAGGAATGAGACAAAGCCAGACAAAACTTCGCAGAGTCTTAAACGGAACCACTGTTTTCAGTGAGTCACTCAGTTTTCAAGGTTCTGAATCCTTAGGGTAGGTCCCATCCAGTACTCACTTAGTAACTGTGTAGTGTGTGCAGGGTCTGCCTTACCTGTGCCCTGGCACGCAGGGAGGAAGAAACTAAGGGCGTGCCTTATCGCATCGACTAAAGCCCTCTCAGGAGCCCAAGAAACAAAACCTTCCTACTCACTTTTAAGAAGTTCTTTTCTTCATCTTCATCTTCCTGGACATCCTCAGCTCCTGCTTCAATTGCCAGCTCCAGCGCACGCTCTAGGTTCACGGCCTTTTTCTCTTTGTCCTCCACTTCAACGGTGACTACCCCCTTTTTGTCAAAGGAGTGACGTGCTCCTTCACTCATCATCCCCCTGACAGGACAGGAAAGGGGGCGGAGTGTGTGACTGCCTTTGGACACTCAGCCTCCACAAAGCACAGCACTCTGATGTCACCTCCGATGTCACACACGCAGACACAGAGCAGGTCCCTTCCTGAAGGAGAAGGCGCAGCCGCCACTGGGTCAGGGAAAATAGAGGGATCATCCTCACCCTCTAGTTTCTGCCCTGATCGGAGTCTGGAGGATGCAAAGACTTGGCTCATCATTTCCTGTCCCATTAAGACTCCATTCCTGGTGCAATATTTTAAGACCTGGGCATTATACGGCTTCAGATGGGATAATCAGACAATGATCCTGTCTTTTAGATCCTGCCTAGCAAAGGAAATCAGTAACGCCATTGGATTCTGCTAAGGAGGAAGTGTGTTTACAGACCATCAGGTATTTGTCTTGCACAGAATTGGAGTCTCCAGGCTCGGTTCCCTTCCCCGCTCCTCTCCCTCAGACACACACTCACCCGTTCTTGTTCAGGATGTGTCTAATGTCTGACTGGCACTTGGAGCCACTGTTAGATAATGCCTCAATGAGCAGAGAAGAGCCGCCAGGACCTCGAGCCTCATACAGCAAATAAACGCCTTTAGTTTTCTGCAATAAACACCAGGAACCATGAACACATTTCCTTGTCTTCCAACTCCCTCTCATATGCCGGCGCTGTCCCACAGGCACCACAAAGTTGACTCCGGGGGATGGGCTGTTTGGGCTGGATTCTGGGCTTTCTAGTCTTTTTGCCCCCACTCTCTGAGGGGGCCTTTGGGATCAACTTTCGAGGTAACTGGAAGTACCAGCCCTTCTTGGGAAGTCTGTTTCCCCAGCCCCTCAATGATCAGCCATCTCCCAGCTCTGTTTCCTGACAGTGTCCTAGTCACTGCTTCCACAACTCATCTGTCTGCACCCTATTCCACACAAAACCCACGTGTAATGTCTCAGGGCTCCTCCCCTGGGCTTTTGCCGGATACTGCTGCAGAAAACTCACACACTTGGGTCATGGCATGAGAGCCACTGAAAACAGCATGATCTCAAAATTCAAACACTAAAACTCTAAGGACCGATTTTATTCAGACTCCCCACACCTCTGTTCATCCCTTGTCCACACATCTGATCTCCATACTCTCTCCAAGCACCCGTTCCTGAACCTTTACAAGCATTCTTAACTGATCACTTTTCCTCTTCTCTCTCACAAAGCAAATACAGGGCCCCTGGGTGGGGAAAAATCCTGTCTCCACCATGGCTTAGATGAAGAAAATATGTCTACTGGTTAGAACACAGGCTCTGGAGTCTGGCTGTCTGGTTTCAAGTCTGTCATTTTCTGTGTCACTTAAGTCACCTTTCTGTGCCTCAGTTTTCACTTTTCATTTTAAGGATTTGCTGAGATAAGGCATACAGAACTCTCATCAAGGTCCTTGGTGTAGAACAAACACTCAATAACTACTAGCCATGAAAATGATTATTAGCCAGGTATGATGGCACATTCCTGTAATCCCAGCTACCTGGGAGGTACAGGCAGAGAATCATAAGTTTGAGACCACTCTGGGAAACTTCGCAAGACCCTGTCTCAAATCTCAAAATAAAAAAAAAACTTTTAAAGAGGCCTGGGGACCCGGGCCTGGTGGCATACACCCATAATCCCAGCACTTGGGAGGCTGAGTCAGGAGGATCACCACAAGTTCAAGGCCAGCTTAGGCTACATAATGAGTTCAAAGCTAGCCTGAACTACATAGCAAGACCTTGTCTCAAAAAAAAAAAAAAAAAGCCCTGGGGATATAGCTTAATAATGATAATAATAATAATAATGATTAACTTCCTGAGATCCTGCTTACTTGTACGGTATTAGAAGAAAAGTTGTCTCCTCACCAGAGCTCAACATCCCTGGCCCTCCCACCACCACAATCACACCCACCCTTTCCCTTTCCATTGACTTTCCTTCTTTACAGCATGAACATCTGAAAAAGAAAAATCCTTCTTCAACCTAACATCAGAGTTTTTCCCCACAACTCCTTATCTTTTGATCACATCTCTTTACAGCTTGGCCAGGCAGTCCTAGGCTACACATCTCTGCACACTGTCTACCCATGCTATTTCCAATTGTGCTTCTCCAACCAATGGCCAAGGACAGAGAGCCCCTAGAGGTCTGTGGGCCAAAGTGATGAACCACACTTCTACTCTTTCTCTGCTGATTTAAGGAGTATTTGGTGGCCTTCCCAGTATGAACACTTTGGGGGCTGCAATCAGTAAGAAGAATGTTAAACTGAGGACACACCTCCATTTTCAGCGCCGCCTCAATGGTTGACTTGGGCATGTGCTTGCTGCGACACACCTCTAAGATGCTGAACAAGTTGCTGTTGAGCGCAGGATTAGGGCCTCCCTCTAAGATAAAGAGAAAAGAGTGCGCACAGAGGTCTTGTTACCAAAAAGGAGAAAAAATGGGATCTCCAGCCCGTTCCCGACTCCCTCCAGCCAAAATGGTAGCAAGCTACCCTTTTGCTCACTGTTGAAACACTATCCAGTGTTCAAGTGGGATCTGGAGAAGCATCTTCAAAAAGAAATTTCTAATTCATGTTGCCTTTAGGGTAGTTGTTATTCTGCTAGGTTCAGTGAACTCCACTTTTCGTCAGATAGAGAGGCAAGAGAGATAGTAACAGTATTTTCTGAATGTATTACATCCCTTGTTCTTACTCCGTTACAGTACTTCGGGCATAATTACTGAAATGCCCATGTGACACTGTACTCATGCTATCTCTGACAGTAGCGATCGTTATAATCTTTGATTTACTAGTGCCTGGCAGGAAATAAACACTCAATAGTGTTAGTCAAACTTAATATCAAGAATTCTTGCCAGGTGTAGGCACACACCTATAATCCCAGGACTTGAGAGGCAGAGGAAGGAGGATCACCACCAGCTGGAGGACAGCCTGGACTACATAGTGAGGTGAAGGCCATTCTGACTTACATTGTGAAACCATGTCTCAAAAAACCAAAACCAAAAACAGTAACAAAATTCTTAGCATGTGCAAGGCTCTGGGTTTGATTTTAAAAAGAAGCTGGGCTCAGTGGTGCATACTTGTACCCTCAGCACTTAGACAGGCTGAGGCAAGGAGGACGACAAGTTTGAACCTCACCTGGGTAACTTAGTGAGACCCTATCTCAAAACTAAAAATTAAAGAAGGCTGGGGATGTAGCTCAGTGGCAGAGCGCTTCTAGGTTCAATTCACAGTTGCAGCAGCAGCAGCAGCAGCAGCAGCAGCAAGGATGATCAGGCATGAGTTGTAGGGGCAAATTAACATTAACTGAATGCTTATTATGCCCCCGCCCAAACTACCTTGAGGTAGGCATTTTCCCTGTCTTAGAGAAAAGGAAACAAACTCAGCAAAGTTAAGCCACTTGCGTAAGGTCATAGACTGGTCAGTGACAAAATCCAAAGTCCAGATGCATCCCCTCCCCCAATTTTTGGTGGTGCTGGGAATCGAACCCTAGGACTAGTTTACTCTAGGTAAATATACTACCGCTGAGCTACATCCTCAGCCCCTTTGTCTATTCTTTTTTTCTTTTTAAATTTAAGTTTACTGGTACAATTTAGGCTCTATGCTTTTTACAGGGCTTTCCCTCTATTCCTGTGGGTGTCCAGCTGAAAAGAAAACTGACCTTTTAGGGTGGCTTGCAACTGATTGCACACCTACCTTCCAAGAAAACGTGCCTCAGGAAATCCTAACTGTAGCCTAAGCAAGTAATAACTTTATCAGGGCCCCTGCCACAACCTACATGCTACTAGAGGCAACCGCGGAGAGCCTGGTTTGTCTCTTCACGAGAGACACAGGTCCGATGTTTCTATGAAGCCTGAAGCACTTAGATACACACTTGGATAAAGTCACTCTTACCTCTTCTCTCAAAGGGGAGTCCCCTCACTGACAAGAAAAGTTGTCTGGAAAAATGAGTGGGGACATCCAATTTAGACAGGTGTTTGGACCGCCGGGCGTGGTGGCACACGCCTGTAATCCCAGCACTTGGGAGGCTGAGGCAGGAGGATCATTGCAAGTTCGAGACCAGCCTGGGCTACAAAGTGAGCACAAGGCTAGCCTGAACTGCAGAGTGAGACCCTGTCTCAAAAAGACCACCCCCCCAAAAAAAGTGTTTGGAAGTGGGTAGTGACAACAACTGGGCAAGGAAGAGAAAATGAAGAGTCAGGGGTCAGGTGGGTGACGGCCCAGTTTGGGGAGACGGGAGAGGCCATAAGCACGGAGAGGGCATCGGCGGCCAGCAGTGAGTGACCGACCGTCAGGTTCTCACCTTTAACGGCCAGGCGGATGCTGAGACTAAGTTTAGAGAAAATGCGACTCTTTTCGGTGTCCTTGGGGCCCTTGACGTGCCGGACTTTGGACCACTTATTGTGCCCGGCGGGGGCCTCCGCGGTGAGGCGCAGCGTCCTGCCCAGAGCGGAGCCGCGGCCCGGGAGCTCAGGCTGGAAGACGCATGGAGTTGCGTGGCGGACGCCGGGGCCTCGCGCTCTCGCGCATCTGGCAGCTGCCCTGCTCAGGGTGACAGCGGTCCAAGACCCCATCGGCTCCGAACCTGGGCTGCAAGCTGCAAACCGGTGTGGCCAAGGTCGGCGCGTCCTATCTGCTTCCGGAACGAGACGTTCCGGACACTGCAGCCGCTTCTGCCAGCCTCCAGAAAGCTAAGAGCTCACGCCACCCTGGAGCCGCCCAACCGGGAACGACCTCGCACCGTCCCGGCGGCAGCCGAGCGTGGGGGCCTTTGATGACGTCGCACACTTCCTTTCCCAGCTCCGTCGCGAAAACCCGTCCCCACCAACGCAAAGTCCGTTCCGCCGCCGCAAGGTACTCGCTCCTAGCCTGCCCTGCGAAGAGCGCGAAGGAGTGCGCTGCCCTCGATGGCTCCGGGTTGCTCAGGGCTGAGGGTGAGGTGTGTGTCGGGGGGGCGGGTATTTCCCGCAGTGACCTAGTAGAAATACGCCAGATTACGCAACCGATTTCGCTCCCAAATTCCTTCCTAACTCTGAGAAAGTCCGCAAAGATAAATGTTTTGTTCTTGCAAAGGAATATGTAATCGGACCATCTTGTTTTACGTGGTAACCCGCGCCCAGAAAAATGATTTGTCCATTCATTTAGCCTCTCGGATCCAACGTGTTCTATCTATACATAAGGATGCGGCCACCTACTTTACCGACGTAGGAAGTTGGAAACACAACATAAAGGCTTGGAGGTTTAAAGGAATAAATTTACGCAGATAGCAGCAGTGATGATAGTGATTCAGTTTCTAAACCCAAGAGGCGCCTTGGGATAGATTCCCTTGAGTCACAGACTTTTGGGGAGAGAAAAAAATCATCAAACAGAAACCTTTTGGAGCCAAACTCCCCTTTTAATTTTTGCGTTTGATCTCTCAAGAGAGAAAACTGAAGCCATTAGTAGAAAATGGAGAAGAAACAAACTGGCAGGAAGTGAAAAACTTTTTTTTTTTTGTCTTTTTGAGACAGGGTCTCGATATGCAGCTCAGGCTGGCCTTGAGCTCACTTTGTAGCCTAGGCTGGTGGTCTCGAACTTGCAAAGATCCTCCTGACTCAGCCTCCGGAGTGCTGGGATTACAGGCATGTGCCACCACGCCCGGCCCAGCGAAGAACTTTTTAGTTGCCCTCTGCATCAGTCAGGGTTTTACTGGAGAAACAGATATAACACAAGATGTACAAGTATAAGAAATTACAAGATTGGCTTACGATGGTCAGCCAGAGAACCATGAGGAAGTGTGCAGAGGGTGTCTGCACACTGAAGACTGAAGGAATCAGTCCAGGGTCTGGAGTTCACTGCAGAGTTCCG